TTTCTTAGATTAACTCCCAGCTAAACTAAATTATGTCTCACGTACTGTGCTTTAAAGGCCTCGCTGGTATAGAAATAGTCATGATCTGCTGAATTTCCTTGCCTGCATAATAAGTTATCTTATCGAAAAAGGTATCAGGTAACTCTAGAAGCAATCATTTTTGGGAAACTGTGTTGCGTTTTAACTCAAAACATTTGGCCATCAATTATCCTGGCCCGGCCTCTGTTTCTGCTTCCTTTCTCCAGTTCCCTCCTCTCTATGGTTCATTAAGATATCCCCAAACTAGCAGACCTAAGTACCAAATCTTGAGTAACAGATGTTGCTTTTACCAAAGTACCTTCCACCATACCTACTAGAGCAAGGTCATTCATTTTTCTCAGTTAAAGGATGAGTGCTACAGTTTGACCAGATGCCAAGGAAACCAGTTCACAGAATGGGTGTTCTGGTGCTTGCAACCAATGTTAGATACTTATCTAAAACTCTGCTTTGACAGCTTTCTGACAGGCTTTAAAAAATGGTGGGGTTTTTTTTGTTGTATGCTCCTCGGCTTCTGGACAATCCAAATAAAACAGAGAGAGAGCGTGCCAACTCCCACATGCTTACTTCATGCGAGTATAGATGCAAACATAGATGCAGGAAAATTAATCCCAGCAGTGAATCTGGATTTGTTTCCCAAGTAGAAAGGAATTCACAGCTTCAAATGAATGAATGAAAGTAAAGAATAATAAAAAAATAATCCTTCTGGACAAAATAAATAATTTTACGAAACAAAGAGATGCAATTGTAAGGAGGAAACAAATCTCTTAGGTCTTAAAAAAATTTGCTCCTGTTGTCTTGGATCTAAGTTGGACTAAAAGCCATTGAACGTTGGAACAAATATTGCTGTACTCGATGGATAAAAACGACATAGGAAAGTTTGGCCTTATTGTACATAACACATCACACAATGATCTCACCAAAGTTACCAGCTGGGGACTCGCAAACCACATTTACCAAATAAGGCAAAATGCTTCGTGCCTGAAATCCTTTCCCAGTTACCTCACTCAGCTTTTGCTCGTGTTTCTACAATAATTGCGGAGGTCATTTTTTTAAACTCAGATGGAGTAAATCAACAGGCTATCCAATGCAAAGCTGGGTTTGTGTAGTCTCTGGAGAGAACTCAGCTTTATTTAAACTGAGTGTGTACAGAAAAGGAAGAACAGAAATATGTGCAATAAAAACAGAGGAGCAAGTAGTATAAATGGAAAAGAGCAAGTGATGTAGATTTGTGTATTGTTGGGTTGATTACAAACACTAATGCTTTATGGGGAATGTTTCTCAGATTTGTTGGGTACCTTCAGGTTTTTGACGTTCCTGTGAAGAACTGGTCTTTAATGTTATTATGATGTTCCAAAAACACTTGAACTTTGCACTCTGGGTTTATGCTGTCCTTGTATTTGAAATATAGTTTTCTAACATCAACAGGATATTTTATCTTCCATATTCTCTTTGATTTTTGTGCTCATATTTTTGCCTAAACTTGATAGTTTTGAAGAAAGGAAAAGAAAAAGCAAGGATAAAAGGAAAAAGGAGAAAAGGAGAAAATGAAAAAGGGAAAAGGGGAAAAAGGGAAAAGGGGAAAAAGGGAAAAGGGGGAAAAGGGGAAAAGGGGAAAAAGGGAAAGGAAATAAAGGAAAAGGAGAGAGAGAGGAGGGAGGAAATATTCTCATACCCTGTATTTAACACAATAGGACAGTCCTATGTAGTTCATCACAGTAGTAAAAATCTTGTGAATTTATTTGTTATTAAAATAATGGTAACTGTCATTAATTTATAATATCTTCTCTTTTTTAATGCATGTATGTTGTGGAGTGGCAGAGGGGCTTGCTGGTGTTTTAAAAAAGAAAGAAAAAAGCCCAGTAAGGGCTCTCTCATAATCTTTCCCTCACCAAAATATGACAGTAGTCCCTAATATCCTTTTTTATTATATATATTGGTAATACAGCTAAGTACTAATTTTTTTTTCCTCCAAAAAGTTTGGAAACAAAGCTCAACAGGGTGCTAAGTTTAATAATTTTAAAATCCATTTAGAAGACAGATAAATCCAACACTCACCACTGCTGATACAATACGCTCTCACAACGAAAGACTGATCACAAATAACAAGCTCCTTGCATCTCTAGCTACTGCTGAAACTGCCAATGCAAAGCACATACAATTGAACTCGTGCTTCTATGCCTAATCTCTTAAAATGCCAGTCCGTAAGACATTATGATGCAAACTAATTGTCAATTCACAGGTCTAGAAAAATATAATACGACATAACTATCGGCTCTGCTGTGAAGTCTGCACCATATCAGCCTCTCTTTGGAGAGGAACACATACAAAGAAATGCTTTGTAATGTTTTTTGGGAGGAGAGGCATGACAGAGAAACAGAAGCAAATTTGCATTTGATATGTATACAGTTCTTCACATTATTCTAAGTTAAATCTAGAGGGGAAAAAATAACAGGTCAAACCTGGTATTTCAGGTCCAAAAATAACAGTTGATACATGGTCCATACAGCTGACGTGTTTAGAGACGAGACCAAATAAAAAGTGAGATTCTCAGGGTCCTGTGAGACTTGCTGCTGAAATCCAAGCAACAAAGAGAGCGTCTACTTTTTCTTTGTTTGGCTATCAGTTCAGGTCACTCCAGAGGAGCTCAAAGAGTTCAAATCTCTGTGCAAACCTTCATTAACTGCAGATAAACAACTCTCAAGATCAACTCATCCCATACTTACAAGAGTTCATAAATGCTCAAGGGGCGAGCTCAGCAAACAGAAGTGGAGGTGAGCCATCCGACCCTGTTCTCTACATTCAGAGCGCCCAAATTTCATTTCATACTGGTCTCATTCTTCCTAGATCACATGTTGCTATTTTGTAATTACTAGAAAAACAGTATTAAATGTAATTGATCTCTCAACTTCTTTGTGTTGATTCCCTTTAGTTACAGGCCAATTGTAATTGCTTCTGCTGATAAAAATCAATTCAGAGGCTTGCAATCTGGGTTATGCAGGCAGTCTGAATCTCTCATTTTTGAGCTTGACAGCTGAACTCCATGAGCAGTGCAAGAAAAGACCAGTTTATTTGACATATTACAAAACAACGAGCTGGTAGAGCTCTCTATATGGTATCAATGTGTCAAGCCAGTACCCCGGACTGCCCAAAACACACATAGCGCTGCATAATAAAGATCCTTAGACACTGGAATAAGAGTTAGCCGAGGCTAGCTCTCTCCTGAAGTCGTTCAGTACATTGTTATGTGACCACAGACAAGTCAAAATAAGCACTGTTTCCACAAATTATAAAAAATAGGCAAAAGCTCATATTTTATCTGGAAGGGATATGGAAGAGAAACCAGCTGTTTTGGGACACCGTGCAGAGACGACTCAACCTGCCCTGTAGTGTCCTGCCTTTAATGTTAAATACTTGCTGATTCAAAAAACAAAGGAGGCATCTTCAGTTAGATCATTAAATATGTGTTGACATCTACTGAGTGATATAGTCAAAGGACACAGAAGTGTCACAGAATTCTGCAGAGACCCCTGTGAGCTGCCTGTGGATCGTCTCCCTGACGTACCAGGACAGTCAATAGTACGGCGGGTCAGGCTTTCAAACAGGGATCTCTGAAGATAAGAACAATGTCCCTTCAACTCCAGCCATACGAAATGAAATGGTAACACAAAGAACTGAACAATGCAATGAAACCCTACTGAAAACTAAAAATAATTTTGTGCTGGGATTAAATTCTGATTTGTGCAGCGAGCACAGGAAATAAACTCTCAGCCCTGCACCTCACAGCAGCATAGGGGTGGGACAAGAGAAGAATGCAATTGCAGACAAAAACACATCAAGTAAGAGGGTAAAGAACATCCATTACAAAGAAATCTGACCTCTAGTTCACAGTAAAATTCGTCTCGATCATTTACTTGGTTCCTGTGCGCAAGCAGTCTCATGTGTTTGCTACACATTCACAACAGCAGTACAAAAAGTACAAACCTTCATCCGCACTTTCCAACAGCTCTGTTCTTTCTCCGAGGTTGTTTGAGAACAGCACAAGCACAACCTCGGCTACAACATCAAAGAGAGATTTTTTTGCACCCATTTAACCTTACAAGATGGAACATTTCCCGGATAAATTTTATGAGTGCTAATACAGGATGCAAATTGCTTCAGAGCTAGCATATTCATGTAGGCAGAAGGAACTGTTAGTAACCATCCCTCTAGCTGACGACCGCAGCCTTTATGCATCTCTGAGATTGTGATCAAAGCAGTCACTGGTAACCACTTAAGGCTCCAGGATGAGACTGAAAATAGCTCTTCTAGACCAACAGTTCATTCTAACATCTCTTTCCTCAACATATCTGATTTCCCAAACTGACATGCTGATGGTATAGACAACTTGCAGTTTCTCTAACACAGATATAATATTTAACACCAACGAACTGGCTTCAGTCACCAGTAGGAGCACTTCCACCACGGGAAAGTCTTTGGGCAATATGAAGATGAATGCTTTGGCAAAATAGGAATCACTGCACCTCATCAGCCATGTGAAGTGGAGAGGCAAAGCAGAGACAGAAATAGAGTATGGCTGAAGAGCAATGACTTCTTTTGCTATAAAGAACAAACAGCTACTCGAGGGCCTCTGCACCCTTCATCTGTCTGAACTCTCCATGCAGTTTTGGGTAAACCTAAGATGCAACAGAATGTAAATGCAGACATCAGAAGATGAACCCAACACCAAATGGTAAGAATGTACAGCAGGAGCTGTACCCTATGCGTATAATCAGTCTTTAAATTTCATTTCTAAGTCATCTTCTCTGAAGCAAAAAAGTTCAGTATAATTTAGTATCACATTAATGAGGATGGCATCAAGTATGTTTGAATACAAAATGCCTGTTTTCAGTCCAGCCTTCAAAACACACTGATAAACTCAAATAAACATGAAATGAAAAAGAACTGTTTACATAGCCACTTACTTTTGCTGCTCCTATTTGCTCTTTCCGAAACTTCTCCAGCGGTGCTATTAGCACATCATTAGCATTCTGGATCTGCAAAGTTAAACACAGAGCGTATCTTCTAAATACAGAGCATTTGCAGAAAGCAGAGTCATTGTAACTCTGTCAATGTGCAAGACTGAAAAATTCATGTCTGTAACATTCTGGTAAGAGCATAAGGGTAGGAGTAAAAAAATTACGTCTTCGTTACATAAAACATAGACTACACATGTTCAGTAGTCTATTATGGAATGTTACCAGGAATAACTAAAGCAATTGTAAAGAACGATGTAGTAAGTTGACCTGCAATACATAGAAGGGTTTTCTGGTATTTTACTTCAATTTCTTGCATCTTGTCTATAATAAGAATAGAAACCAAAAACTTACAGGAACATGTTTTGGCAGAACTGGGAAGACAAATACAGTAGCACTGACAGCGCTGACTGAAGAAGTCTATGTTTACAGATCTGAATCTTTGACAGCTGAATCTTTTAAGCTTTGTCTTTGGATTATATACCTAGCTATACTGAACAGAGGAGAGTAAGGCGGAGAACTCTAAAAAGAGGAGTAGAGAATTTATAAAATATTCTGTGCTAGATTCCTTCACTTTTCTAGTTTTTAAACCAATTTCAGATGCCCTGCAGCTATTTTTATCACTTTAACCTAAACCAGGGTTCCTAATGAATCACATGGCTACTGTTTATTTAGTGTAAATCCCATCCTGGGAACCCCTCTCTGAGGACTATTCCCAGCAGTGACCACCCGAAGTAGTCCCTAGTCATTTGGGCTGGAAACACACACGCAGCAGAATATCATGCCAGCCATGTCATTATGCCATTCAGCAAAAAAAAGAAAAAAAAAAGTAGCATGATTTCACCATGTGCCGCCTTTTAGGGACATCATCTTAATTGACTTGACTGCAAAAAACCAGAAGAAACTGAAAACTGCCAACACATCAGAAATAAAGCATAACAAAACACATTAAAATATTCTATTATATTAACTACAGGCAAAATCTTGGATTTTCTGCATGAACAGCTTTTTTCTCCTCACCAGTCCAGTCTTTACCATACTCATCACATTCCACATTTGGGCTTTGGCAGCTTTGGAGGTCTGGGCAAAGTTAACGTGCACCTAAGCCAAATGCCAACTAATATAGGTCTTGTGAGTCTTCCATAATGATAATTGCTAAGTTACAACCTTCCCAAAAGGCTGTGATAACAAACACATAGAATAAACATATTGAAACACAAACACATTTTCTGTCCTCCCAAAGCTAACACTACAATTCAAAAGACCACAGAATCATCATATCTCTCAGTAGGGGAAAGTTTCAGGAAAAGTCAAGACTCTCTTTGACATCCTAATGTAAAAAAGTCCACGATAGCAAAAGCAATACTTGGCACACTTGATGATGCAGTGATTAAAAAGTACTACATTTAAAAATAAAAATCAGGCACAGAGAATGGGGAGGAACGTTTTCACTGCGTTCACTGTGCTTTCACTTCATTCAACATCCTTCATTAGTTCAAGTGGAACCAATTACAAAGCCATGTTATTCTCAGATTGGAGAATGGACATTTCCCACAAATGTGTAGATTTTTAGGCAACATCTAGCAATCTAACTGTGACTCAACAGTTTCTACAAGACAAGTGCACACATTTAACAAAGATAGTCTCTATCCCAAGGATCCCTAAGTAAGGCAGATTAAAATTAAGAGGGGTGTGAACCTGTTAAATTATTTGCCCACCATCAGGCAGAATCATGGAATGTGTTGGGTTGGAAGGGACATTTAAAGTTCATCTAGCCCCACCCCCTGCAGTGAGCAGGGGCATCTTTAACTAGATCAGGTTGCTCAGAGCCCCATCAAGCCTGACCTTGAATGCCTCTAGGGATGGAGCCTCCATCACAGCTCTGTGCAAACTGTGCCAGTGTTTCACCATCCCTTATCGCAGTGCATATATCTGGAAGCTGCAGCTGGAAGCTCCTATAGCTTACAGAGCATGTACAGGGCTTTATGGCACACACAGAAATCAGAAAGCCTTGCTGGAGTCACTGGTACAAACGTGTGGATGCATCTTTTCTTTCTTTTTCATGTACAGAATTTTTTTCCCTGCCTGTTAATTTATTGCTATATACAGCAACAATATATTAAATACCTCACAGTTCAATTAAAAGAGAAATATTATTGAAGTACTTTCTACTATCAGTAACAGTGATAGTAATACTACTATCAGCAGTACTATCAGTACTGGGCTGCCCTGGGCTGCATCAGAAGCAGCATGGCCAGCAGATGGAGAGAGGTGATTCTGCGCCTCTGCTCTGCTCTAGTGAGACCTCACCTGCACTGCTGCCTCCAGCTCTGGAGCCCCCAGCACAAGAAGGACATGAAGCTGTTGGAACAGGTCCAGAGGAGGCCACAAAGATGATCAGAGGGCTGGAGCATCTCTCCTACGAGGACAGGCTGAGAGAGTTGGGTCTGTTCAGCCTGGAGAAGGCTCTGGGGAGACCACCTAGCGGCCTCCAGTACTTGAAGGGGGCTACAGGAACACCGGGGAGGGACAGTTCACAGGGGCGTGTAGTGACAGGATGAGGGGCAATGGTTTTAAACTAGATTTAGATTAGATGTTAGGAAGAACACTTTTACTATATTTTACTATGAGAGGGTGGTGAGACACTGGAGCAGGTTGCCCAGAGAAGCTGTGGATGCCTCATCCCCAGCAGTGTTCAAGGCCAGGCAGGATGGGGCTTTGAGCAACCTGGTCTAGTGGGAGGTTTCCCTCCCCATGGTACGGAGGTTGGAACCAGATGATCTTTAAGGTTCCTTCCAACTCAAGCCATTCTACGATTCTATGATAACTACTAGCCCTGTTGCTAGTCATTGCCAGTCAAACTAACTGTATGTGAAGCTGAATATGGCTCTTCCCTTCACTCAATGCTATCACTTTTAGGTAGCCTCCATGCCACACCAGGAGACCTCACTTCATATATCGCCCTCTTGGCAGCCTTAAAGAGACTGAAACACAGTTACTACCCATCTCACTCAATGCTGCTGCAAAGCAAATGAAATACTGGGAAAAAGAATCCTGCTTCAAACACTGGAAGCGTACGGCTCTGAGAGGAGTCAGCTGGGAAACAGCTTTGCTGGGCTGAAGCACGTTGCTCATCCCCACAGTTATACACGCAACCAGGAATGGGCTAACGAAAGGCTAATGAACAGATGTCACGCGCTTCATCTAGAAAGGGTCTGTGCCTCTGAACAGATCTGCTGAGCCACATCGACAGAACATGCTGCAAGCTCATATTCCCTCAGCTGAAAGTTTCCACCACCGAGAGCCCTGATGTGGCAATTCACCTTCCAGCAAAATGAGGAGCTCGGCAAGCCACTGGCTTTGGCTTTGGGAAGGGAGAACATGCCAGCAAAGCACCAAAGAGAATCCCAGGAGACGCATTTCAACAGTCTGTATTACTAGACAACAGAATACTCTGCTGTGAAAAGACTCCCATCAATTTCAACCACATTGTGCCTACTGGACATTGAACATTATAGAGAAGAATTTTTGCCTTATGTATGTGTTTATTCATTTCCTTTCATTGCTGATTCCTATCACTGCAATTATTTTACATTACAGTTTCCTTGTTAAGGGTTACAAATTGGCACACAGGCCTCTCCTCCTCCCAAAGTAGGAATCTAATCCTCCCACAACCATTTCTATAGAAATCTGATCGTTTTAGATAATCTTAGATTTTCACTGTGTGGTCCTAATAGAGTAACTTTCTTCCTGCCAAGATGATAATCCTTCTCCTACTCAGTTACTGTGCTATGCTGAAATCACAGACACTTGGAACAGGCAGACGATGTCAAAAAGACTGTAACAGTTTCTGTAAATAGCAACTTCAGAAATCCATGTCACGTCTAATATACAGATCTTATCCTTAAAAGCTTATTCAGATTAGTCACACCCTTAGAGAGGTTATACTTGCTTGATCCAATAGCTATTGAATGCTACACAGTTCCAGCTCCCAGCATAGCTAATATGCAGCAGTCAAACAAGTAATATGATTGTTTCTCTTGTGTGGCAAAAGCACCAGTCTCAGTTTTCCTCCAGAAGAAAAAAAAAAACACAAAAGGAATCATGCAGTTTCAGCTTAATGCCAGTTAATCAGTCTTTGTTTAAATTAAGGCAGACATAACTACTAGGCAGACATAATAGGAAATTATTACTTTGACAACTGAGACAGATCTAGTAATAAAAGAAATAAAATTTTCTAAGCCAAAGAACGTAATCAACTTTTTAACTTTGATATATATAACTCTATCTAGCATTATTGATAAAAAGAACATTAAAATATCACCAAAATCACAGTGAGTATGTAAAAAATACTTGAGAAAGAAATACTTAAAAATGGAAAATATTTTTCCTAAGTCAGCTTTGACAATTTATAAGGTCATTCCCTGTTTGGGGGCCAGTTAGCCCAGTCAGTTGAGTGCAGCATTAACAACACCAAGGTCGTGGGTTTGATTCCCGTTCGGTCCCCATTTGTTGCCTGATCTAGTTGAGAGGTGGCGTCCCTGGCAGCAGGGAGGCTGGATTAAATGATCTCTAAGGTCCCTTCCAGTCTAGGCCATTCTGTGATTCTGTGATTCTTGTAAAACTGCAACATTTCAATATACTCTGACAGCCTCTAAGCCAACATGGTGAAGCACTTTAAGTTCTCTTTTCTGATTCATGATCCTCCACCTTTCCAACTCACCCTCCTTCCTTCCAGAAGGTAGCTGTGCAGTTGAAATAATGTACCAATGATGAAATTAAACTATGGTTTTCTCACATCATGGAGAAACTTCACATGTACACTTTGAGACAGTGTTGACTAGCGATTTTTTTAAAAAATATTTTTAACTAAAAGTTTTAATCATCAGTAGAATGAAGTAAAAAATTCAACATCAAGTAACATAACCTCATAATAACTATATAACATCATAATTATTACACTATCTTAGCAAGGAAAGACACTTCCATTACTAGATTTTCTTTAAGTCGGTGTTAATTTT